GGTCTCTGACATACTGATCCTATAAACTTTCTATAAACTGTAACCTCAATTACTAAGAGTTGTCCTTAAAAATTATTTCCTTTGTCAAAAGACAGCAAACTCAAGTCTTTCCAAGTGAGGCTTTTCAGTCTGCAGAGTGTCTCCAGATAGCCCCAAGGAGCACTCTACTACTCTACTACAGTGCCACACTAGGATTAAGAAGATTTCCTTTATAATCTGACTTGGCTATTCCTTCAGGTCTGCTGGCTCAGATGTGAAATACTGTGCCCAGTATTTTCATCAAAAATAAAACAGAAAGCAAGGCAACAGTTGTCTGTATTAATACTTTCATGTCTTTGACAAAGTATCCATGCTGATCTTAAAGAAAGTAATGTACTTCTATACAAAGTAAAAATTGCAAATTAACCAGAGCAATAAAAAATAAATAATTTATTTAAATAAATTAGCAAAATTCTTTACACTTCATAAAATAATTTAGCTTTTTTTCCCCTTACTCTTCTCTCTTCATTCAGGTTAAAATTAATGCAAAGGGCAGAGACCAACTTAAAAATCAAAGTGTAACTTTGCATGCATTATTTTAAGAAAAAATTTAGTTTAATTAGCTAAACATTACAACTCACTCAAATCTAAGCCTCATTACAGTCATTTGAAATAAGAATGACTGAGTGTGCAATTGCTTTAAAATTTAGTTCCTATCCAAGTTCCTAACAAAACAACTTGTATGTTCAATTCTCATCAAATACATATCTTTGCTTTTACAATTGACCAATATTTTCTATCAAAATCTGAATATTTTGGTGTTACAGGAGTCTGGTCAGACACAGGTATGTTCCAAGACTGATACCAGTTGGTATCCCCAAGTGTCTTGGCTCTAATGAAGCTTGGGTCTGTACTCATACATGCCTCTAATGGCTTCTTACACACATAAACCAGTGGGATCTCCTCCTTACAGTGACAGGCACCCACATAACATTCTCTGGTTTATACAGAATTTCTTTATGCATCAAATGCTGAGCAAATACACCACTCACACTCAGCCATGGAGTCTCCATAATGTCAACTATATGGTGATATATCACTGGATCCTCTCCATCTGCATGCTGTGTACATATATTTAGCTGGCAAATAGGAGCACATTTCCCTTGCAGTTATGTTACAGTCCTGTTGAAGAGTATGGAGAAATAAGGTACATATTTACGTACATAATTAGGTTTTCCCCAGTTGTTTTTGAATTAAAAACAAAGGTTGTTTTTATGAGGTGAGCAATTAAATGTACCATAATTTCCAAGGATTTAGGGTGATTTTTGTCAGCAGAATTATCTGTGTTCCCACTCACTCTCTCTACACCTATGCAGCTCCCTGGTGTGCTCTCCAAGAATAGTTCAGTTAATTTCCAAGTCACTCAACATATTTCACTTTTAAGCAGCTATGTGCTAAAAAGCTTCCACTGTTGTCATTCTGAATCTTTAATGGTATTGAAACTGTCAGGCAAAAATTGCATTCTCCTGCTGTTCTGAGCAGCAGGAGAATGAAGATGACAGAAGAGCCATGTTAATGTTAATCGTAGATGAGAAATACAATGGCATTTCTCAGAAACTTAGGGCTCTGCTTTAACAGGCACAGGCTCTTTATTTCCCCCCTGTAGCCCATTAATTTTAAAAAATAATAACTGCAAATAAAAAATATAACAAAGAAAAGCAATTAGCCAAATGGACTGAATCACAAAAATTCTCCCTGCCTGTATTTCCCATTGGTTTTCTAATTGCCGTCATTTTGAATAATTAGATTGTTGTGAGCAGGTTCCACAACTCAATAATTTTTAAGTAATTTGCTAACATTCACTTTCTTATGCTCATAGCATCCTTCCAAGATTATTCCCTACTCAGACAGGGCACTGAAGAACAGAGGTCTAAGGTAGCTGGGAGCATGATTAACATCCTCTATAATTTAGATGTCTACCACATTGTAGCTGAGGCTACAGTGAAACTGTCACTAGGATCCATTTAATGGTTCTTTGAGAGCATTTCTGATCATTAATCTAATGAAAACCAAGAGTCTCCCTTAGAACGTGATAAAAACAAAATATGAGACCATGGTCTCATGCAGATATCTACACCCTAGATATAAAAACTAGTAAAGAAAAAAATATCCCACCATGAAGGATTTAGACAGAACTCAGTTATATCTGAATGTCAAACCTTAAGGAGTAATTCCAGCTATGCTGCTGCCATCCCTGAAAGTTCCCAAAAAAATCCCAGTACCCTGGTAGTCTTGTCTGTATACGCGTACTCCCAGAAAACTCTACAAAGGTACATCTTCTACAAACTCATTTGAAGCTGTCTCCACTCCAGCAGCCAGGCCATCACGTTAGAGATGGTTTCTGCAGAAGGCAAATCTCTCAAAGCCAAGTATGGCACCGCGTTGATGTGTCTCCAGACAATTCCAAGCAGAGTTGGCTCTCAGAGCCAGCTCTAAGCAGGGTGGCACCTCTGTACTGCCTGTGACCACCTGGCTCTGCATCCACTCCCCAAGTGCTTTGGCACAGTTGGTGTTGACAGATAATGCCAATTATTCACCATTACTATTTGTATCCTTTCAAAATATTCTGCTGAGAGTTCAAAGACAAGGTAGCAGCCTCAATGCTTCCCAGATTTCCTACCATGCAGAAAATTTGCTTTTCTTATCAAATCCACAAAGCTATTTGAGGATCTCAGTTTCTTATTTCAAAATTCTGTTAAGAGTAGCAGAAACACAGACTCTTTAACTAAAATTCAATAGCTTTTTCTATGTCCACTTCTGAGTGTGACACCACTGTGTGTATTTCCATCAAAGCACATAGAGAACTCCATAATTCTTGTATTCAGAAGCAATGACAGTCACTAATTGTCCTTATCCTTCCAAACCACCCATGAGTTAAAAAATACAATGTTTTCTTTTCCTCCTATGGAACTCAGACTTTGGAAATACAGCTCATGACCCTTCATTTTCTGAAATACCCTAATGCTTTTGATGATCAAGTCTTAAGCAAAATAATGTCCAGCACTGCTGCATTACATCTGACTGTCTGGCAAAAATCGTACTTTGCTTCAGTTTCCAAAAGAGCCCATGTATTGCAGCAGGTGAACACCTGCTGCCAGGCAGACACACACACACATGACATTTAGGCAGGAAGAGACACCACCTATACCAGTTAAAAAGAGGGCACACCTGTTGAGCATTCCTGTAAATTCATCTGGATGCCCAGTCTGTGTAGAAGGGAATTTACACCATATACATTCATTTCATTGTGGGGACGCCAGAAATTAAAGAGGCTGTTGATTCCCTCTGCACGAACACTGGACAGATGAAGACAGCATGCAGGACTTCCTCACCATTCCCTACCAATGCCCCAAGAGACACTGCTACTAACCTGCTTATGGTGAGTTCATACTCCTGGAAGAAAGTACCACATTTTTTTGTGTTCTTGACCATTTTTGTCCTTGCCCTGAAGGAATTGTGTTCCTCCTTTGGCCTCCTGCTATTTTTCTTGAAAGAGATGACAGCCCTCTCTGCCTTTGTCTTGGTCCTGCTAGTCATCATCTTCTTCTGTTAATTCTTTGCTGAAGTTCTTATACCCCATGGAAATATGCACTTCCACAGTTGCTACTGAATGCAAAATATCCCACAACTCACAGCAATTAGCAATGTCAGCTAGCTGTCACTTCTCTTTTGGCCTAAATATTGCTGGGGATCAACCACAGTTCCAGTTCTAGGAAGGATTTTGAACATTTTCTTTCTTTTTGAATGTCATTATTCCTGAGCCTCTGTTGTGATATCAAATTAATTCGCAATTAATAAATGAGCCAGATTCTTGGTGCCAGATATGATTTTCTTACCAATAGAAATAGGCTTGGGGGAGACATAGGAAGGTCCTAAAATGCACTAGCTCTCATCAACACACAGTACAATCTATGTCAAAAGATTCAACAATTGTCATTCTGGGTCCCTATTAATGTACACAACTGTTAAGAACTAACTACTGCCGTTGCATTTTTCCTAAAAACACTGTAAACATTTCTCAGATTTAAAACACTGAGACTACATTAAATAATCTGTGTTGTTTCCATGCACTGTTTCAACTTCTCTGCCCTTCTTCAGCCATATAAAAAGTAATAGAAGATCACACTTGGATGAGGAAGACACACAACAACTAAATTTTCGCCTCCAAAGCACAGACTAGTGTTAGCATCCTCTACCCCTACTCTACGGCACATGAATTAAAACCAACTATTTCTGTTCCTTTGAATCTTATATTTTAAAAGACTGTTTGAACCAGAGATTTTAAACATGGCATTCTTTTAAAGACCACAGTACACATCTGGTGGTAAGAATTCATCAAGTTTTCTTCTTCACTTAGTACCCAGGCCAACCCATTTTATAAATTAATCTTATGAATTAAGCTGACTGATATCTCTCAGGTGACCTGTTCATTAGGTGAACATGATTTCAAATGAGTCAGAAATTGTCCAGAATTTGCCCCAAACATGACAATTAGGTTGAAATGAATGTGGTTTTTTAAAAGTAAAAATTTTTGCTACATGGTTTCCAAACCAAAGTTTTGAAATTTGCCTTGAAGCTTGCTGAAGTAAATGAGTATTAAAATGAAACTCCATGCAGAATATAAGATTGCTTGGTTCTGGCCACACAAAATGCTTAACCAAACAATATTTTGCATAAAATGAATGGGTTGGGTGTCTTAACTGACCACTAGTTTTGGTGGTCCAATGCATTTTAATACAGAAAATAAAAGGTCAATAGAAAATTAAACAGAATTGCTTAATACATTATTTCATTCTTCTTTTTTCATAAAGAGCAATTTCTGCTAGCATCTAGAGAATGAGGAAGAGTCTTGGGAAAAATACACAGAAAACACTTTCAAAATTTAATCATTCCAACATCAGAGCAATGAATAAACAAGTTGGTACCTTCAATCCTTATGAACAGATGTGAAAACAAACCAGTACAACTTATAAGGGTTATTTATTTATGTATACACAATATATGTAGATAAATAATCTAGTATATTGAGCACTTCTAATTTGATTCAAGCATGGAAATGCTTTTCATATTCAAAGACCTAAGTCCCAAACATGGAGCCAGAACCTTAAAGGAGAAGATCTAACTATAAATTATATAAAACACAATTACTCAGCTATTCAACTGTATTTTATTTGTGTGCATAAGGTATGGAAAAATGAAAAGTCACTTGTAACAGACCTTGCACACTTGTCACAGAACATTGGACTGAAAGGCATGAGAGCCACTGAAAGGTTGAGAAAAGAAGGTTTGCAACACAGGGAAGTTCTTTTGTTTTGAGCATATGATCTTTATTTCAAGTATTACTTAACTTTATAGAACAAGATTTCTGAGTTGAATTTTTCTCTTTCTTCCTACTTCTATTCCAAGTTTTTATGTTCATACTTTAGTTCCCACACTCTACACAGGACAAAGAATTATTTATGTATGATACTCTGAAAGGCATCTCAATCAACATGACACCTTTATATTTATTTGTACTATATCACTTGCACAAATTGGAGCAAGAGTGGGGAGTATACAGTGAACACAAGTCATCAAGACTAATAATTATAAAAGAGGAAAAATAAAGAGTCTGGTGTATGAAAGTTTCTTCATTACTCCTTAGTATATTTATAATCAACCAATTTTCTCTCATGTTTTCCAGCTCTGTAAAGTAGGACTTGTATCCTCCCAAAGTTTGTTTGTGAGACATACAATTCCAAGCAGCCACGCTTAAAGAAATTTTATAAACCATTTTATAATGTGGCAGGATAATTTCCCTGTACAGATAATCACCGGACACAGGAGCTGTTTCTTTGCCAGAACAATCCTTCCCAGTTTTGATAATGATGATTTTGACTAGCTGTTAAGAAAAGCTGCCACCTGGTTATATCCATAATTAGTACCTGTGCCAAGGATCTCTCCAAGTCACAGAGTTCACAGATGAAAACCTTGAGTGTCCTGCACAAAACCTCAAGAGATATCATTTCCCCCCTGGTCAGTATTATACACACACAGCTTTGCAAAACTTTACCAGTCACCTTTGCCCACAGGAAAACAACAGGAAAGCAACTCCTTTTGCAGACAAGAGGTCCATTTGCCTGGGAACTCTCCTGTTTCTGGGAGCTGCCTGTGAATTCCATGCTGATGAGCCTTGATGGAAGTAGTTTTCTACCAGCAATACTCATGGTCAAGAGAGAAGCAGTGATGCAGCAGCAGCAGCAGCTCTTCATTCCACAGGAGCAGCTCAGTATCTCACTGGTTCCATTTCAGCAGATCTGAAATCTTTATGCCATGTTTCTCTCTTCATCCTCCTTTCTTAGTGTTTAGGGAAGAAAGAAATGAAGAAAAGAAAGCCCAGAGGAAGAACTTACACTAAGATATCACTTCTTTTGCTGCACCATACTACCAGTGTTATCATGGCACATGTCAACATGACTGGGATCAAGATCAGTGTTATGAGAATTTCATCTGGTGGATCTTCCCAGTGAACCTTTTCTGAAGTACAGTTTGAAAAGAATTGTTTATGAATTCCAGTGATAAAGCCTTCTGCAAGGGGGTTTGGCCAAAAGCAACTTGCATTGTTGGCTTCACGTTCTGTGCACTGGGTAAAGTTGTCATAATACCTGGGAGTAGAAGAAAAATAAGAGAAGTTAAAATAGAACGTATATGCATATTACACTTGGAGAAAGCTACAGAGGTGCTGTAAGAAATCTCTAAGAGTGTGTCTATCATATAGATACTCTGCTGAAGGACCTCCAATGGAAGCTGTGGCACAGCAAAGGCAGAAGGAGAATTGACTCACATGTACCAATGCAACTGAGAGATTTCATGTGAAGTTCTGAGATCCCAGATGGACAACAGTCAAACCCCAACTACAGCCAGGGCCTCCTAATGCCATTTAAGTACAAACAGAACTCCCTAACTACAGACATTTACACATTCTTTAAAAAACATGCACACAAATGTGCCAAGAACAGGACATTTTGAACAAAGTATGGATATTTCATGCCTCAACTGCCACTAGACATGATGTTGTCATGAAAATTATGATGTGGCACTAGGACTGAACCACAACATGTAGTACTGTGTAAAAATTTTGGTTCTGTTGCATTCTCATGCGAGAAAATAATGGGAAAATAAGCACACAAAGTTAGCTTTTGACAAAATTCCTCTTCTTTCCAACTCCAGCAAATGCCTGGCAGGGGATAAATAAAAAAATAAATTCTAATTACATGTTTGCTTATGAAAGGCTGGGAATTCCTTGTAATATCTAACATGCAATTTCAATCCTGCATGTGCTAAAATTTACCTGCTCAGGAATAACTTATATTTATGAGAATTGGCTACCCCTCAGGAAAAAAAAAAAAAACAAAAGGCAAAAATAAGCCTAAATTACTTTTGTGGTGTTATTATAAGCCAAAGAAATTCAGGAAGTGAATGGATATGGGGAAGGAGATCAGAAATTAGCAAGACAAAGAGTGTCTGGTCAGTGCACGAATAAGGCAAGAAATAAGGAAGCTACATTATTATCTGTTGCATTTATTTTAGTCCTGCGTGACTCAATAATCTCACTTCAAAGGGGAATTAAAAATAGAAAGAAGAGAGCAAAAATCCACATGACACCTCCAGGGACAGCATCCTGTTATAGCATCTGAAGACCCTACTCTCCCTTAAAGTCCATATAAATATGAACTCCTGATGATTGTCTCGTTCTGACATTAAGTCCTGCAGGGGATAAATGTTGACTCAATGCTTTGCTGTAAAGTAAAGGAGAAGAGACATTCAGCTTTTGGGCCAAGAGTGAAGTCTACTGTTGACTGTCTGTCAGGGGAATTGTCTGCCCGCCCATGCTACAGCCACACAGGTTGGGAACACAGCCTCCTGAGCATCTGAATTCTCAGAGCTGTGTTCACAGAAGAAGAAAAAGCATCACAGAAAGGGCCTTCTCCAAGTTCCTTGTAGTTCTCATTCTCAAGGAGTTTGAGCCAATACTACTTCATTCATAAGCAACCACAGTGGACAATCTAACACCAAACTCCGGCATGAAGATGCATATACACCCAATGTACATGTATTTTAAGCAAAGCAACTAGAAAGGAAGCTTTTGTGACACCAGCAACCACAGGAAAACAATGGGAAATAAGCTAAAAATAAAATACAAATATCAGCTGTTTGCTATTTTAATAGTGTCATTCTTCTGTGTGACCTGATGGCATGCATTCTTTATGTCCTTGGACTAAATTAGGAGCTGGAGATGTCTAGTTGAATGTGGGACATACAGTCCCAGAGGACCTGAAGAGCACTAGGTCTGAAGGGAAGGCTACAAGGTTCAGCAGGCTACAATGCAGAGATGGAGAAGCATCCATCTGCCCAGACAGGTCATTGCTCTACCTGGCACAGACATCAAGCAAGACTCCAGAATGCTGGACTCTACTCCAGCCTGCTCTTGGCCATGCTCTCATGGGCACCTTTGTGCCATCAGTGGCTGCAGTTGCAGCCACCTCAACAAGAAAATCAACAATAAATCCAGGTGGTTTCAGCATAAAAGTACCCTAAGCTCAAAGATTTGTTGATGTAAATTTTTTCCTCTGTGTTTAAAATCCTATAGAAAATTCAGTGTTCTACAAAGAATTCTGTAGATTTTTTTCTTAAATGTTAGATGGTGTAAACAAAAATATTTTCCACTGATTTTTGATTGCAAATACAACACAGCTAGAAAAAGCTGGTTAAGTGTTGCCAAAAGGCCAGATAAAAATAACTTGGGAGATAAATTGTATTTGAAATACTGAATTCCTAAGGGCTAAAGTAGATTAAAAGTGTTATTTTTGGAATTCCGTACAATTTTTCCTTAAAACCTTCTCTCATGGAAAAAAGGGGAGAAAAACCTACCTGCACTATAGCTCTTAGTTCACACAACTGTGAGAATGTAGATAAAGGAAAATCTCAGCTGCTGGAGAATTGCATGTCTGCCAATAAAGCTGAAATCACTTAAATATTTATGTAGTTTTGTACTTTAGAGTTTATGCACTGCAACAGAAAGTTCACACAAAAAAAAATATCCTCTCTGCATGGCACTGTGGAACAGCTGCCTCAGAAGGGAGCAACTGCATCCTCATACTACAGCATGGATGTTTTTGTAGTTGACCAATTGGTTTGCAAGTCGGGCTTTTTTAAGAGGGAGACGGGAGTTAACAGACATTTAATTTCAGTTCAATTCTCCTATGCCTAATCCTTTAATGTCTGATGTAATTCTCTTTATTCAAATGGTAAAGTTTGGAATAGGAAACCTTTCCATTCTGTATAATAAAATGGCTATGACAAAGATGCCCTGGCCTCTAAATGGAGATACTTCAAGGAGAAGTGCATTAAAGTTCCACAACTTGTGAAAGGCAGGAACAAGAAATTATAGTTTCTACTTACTCCCTTAACAAATAACTGGAAAGCACACTGGAGGTCAAGCTCCTTCACTTTTCAGATTATAAGAGGGTGTGGGAACATTCGTATTCTTTGTGCTGAAACACATTTTCATCCCTGTTGCGAAGGATGAAAGTTTGACAAGAAAGTCTCACAAATATGTATGCTTGACAGAAAGATTTTTGAACCTTTCAGGCTAGCTACAAGGGACCTAGGTAATACTCAGGAAAGGGATATTCACTGGGAGCCAGGTCACAAGCTTTGTGACAAATGGGCCCAAAAATTATATGAGTTTCAACTCAGCTAAGCAGTCCAATACAAAAACCCCAAAACCTAAGCATAGTCTGAGCAGCAAAATTCATATGAAGATGTGCTTTGCCCTGATATGCTCAGAACAACTGTACTTTCTATTGAGGAACCAAATCCTTCGTCATACTGCACATTATTGAAAATACTTTCAGAGAACACAAAAAATAATTCCTTTCAGAGCAATCTCTGAACTATAATGCATTTGGTATGAAAGATAATTTTCAATATTCTAGAACAATACCTCATTTTCAGAGCACACACACTTTTTCTCCTGTACCTTATGTTTTCACTAAACCAGATAATAACAACCATGTCATGAAACTGGGTTTGTTTGTTGTTTTTTTTTTTTTTTTTTTGTTGAAAAAAAAAAGTGTATAGTATTTTATTTTGTATTTTACCCATGAGAAAATATATTTTTACATATTACCTATAACTAAGAACGTGGACAGTAGGCAGTTATTATGAGGAATGGGAGTGGACACATTTTCCTTAATGGGACAGTGTTTCACGGAGTGTCCACTCAAACTATTTAAATAGAGAGCTAGGTTTATTACATCTCATCTATCTCAGGGTACCCAGTTGCCTCTCACTCAGGGCACTTCTCAGTCTAAGTGGCGCTTGAATCTCATTCGTAGTTTCCCACATTTCCAGGGAGGAACATGGTAAATTCTTGCTCTTTCTTCCTCAATACCCCTGCACAGGAAAATTGTAGAGACGAATGGTTTATGAAAACACAAGTCCCCCAACACCCTCCTCCACATTTTTGTGAGACTAAGAAAACAAATACATTGTTTAACTAACAGTTTTTATAAATAAGCATTTTCCAATGGAAAACTGTTATTTCAAAGAATCACAAACAATTATCAAAAAAGCTGAATGCAATATATATATTACTTAAGACAAACATTTGAGGGCATTTTCTGGCTGCAGCCAGTACACCCACTGTTAGTTCCAATAGGAGAATCTTTCCACCTCTCCAGCACTCATGGATAGACCACCACAGAGACACTCAGCACATAAGCAGTCAGGAATGTTTTGCAGTTGCTTAATGAGGAGGGCCAGGGATTAAAAACCAAAACACCACACTTTCACTACTGCATTTTAAATCATTCCATTTCATGATTCCTGATATAATTATAGAATATCAGTACAAGATAGTTATAATACATTGTGAGTAATTTTTGTTATTTTGAGTCCATTAAGTATTCAGAATACAGTGAAAAATCTCTCTACCATAATTAAGTCTTGATGCAAACCAGGTAATAGATACACCAGGGACACTCACTCCTGCTACTCTACAATCCCAGACAGCAATCTAGAGGCACTGTTTCAGGACACTACAAGTCATGTGGTGTCATTCTAATACAGATACTTTAAAATTATTTGCTTTCCACCGGATTATTCAACCAAAAATTTCTTTATACACAGTCACATATTAAATTGAATTATCATCCTTGTAACCTCCACCCAGACTGGAATACAAAATGCTGAAATGTAAAAATATTAACAAGAAATATCATATGATGAGAAAGGCTTTTCTTACAGCATTTCCAGAAGAAGTGGAGGCAGGAAGTAGCAAAAAACCTCACAAAAATAAAAAGTCTATTCTTATGTGAGATGCAGCCAGACTGTATAGAATTTCAGGGTGTAACAGCCTGGGTGAACTTCAAATAAGGGTCCAAACCTTAAGATCATAATTTCCTGAGGTTTTGCCACCATGTTAAAAGGACAGCTTTAATTTTATAGTGAGTTAGGAGCCTGTAAATATGGTGGAATATTTCTGAGATTTTCTCGCTCAACATCTCTCCAAATAGATTTGTGTCTGTGTCTCACCATTCCTTTAATCACATATCTTCTGCCAAGATGAGTATTCTCACAGTCACATTTTTATCTCCCTAAT